ATTTGACTTGCTAATATTTTTGTTAAGGACTTTTGCACCTAAATTTATGATGGAGATTGGTGTGTAGTGTTTTCTAATGTCTTTGTTAGATTTTGCTATTAGGGTTATACTAATATCATAAAGGGAATTAAGCAGTGATTCGTCTTTATGCAAAAATATGTTGATGTAGGATTTGTGTTATTTCATTCATAATGGTGGACAGACTTCATCGGCCATCTAGGCCTGGAATCTTTGGGGGAAGGTTTTAAAAAACAGATTTATTTAGGGGTGCCAGGGTGGCTCAGTTGGTTAGGCATCTGCCTTTGGTTCAGGCCATGATCCTGGGGTCCTAGGATCAAGTCCCATGTCAGGCTCCCTGCTCAGCAGGGAGTCCACTTCTCCTTCTGGTCCTAACCCTGCTTGTGTGTGCTCTCTCTCTCTCTCTCTCAAATAAATAAAATCTTTAAATAATAGATTTATTCAGTAGATACAGTAGTTCAGATACTGTCTCCTCTTGTTTCAATTTTGATTCTTTATACTTTTCAAGAAATTTATCCATGTCATCTAAATTGTCAAATATGTTGGCATAAAGTAATGCATAATATTCTCTAATCCTTTTTAATGTTCATAGGATCTCTGGTAATAACTCCTTTTTCATTATTTATATTGGTGATTTTTGTTCTCTTTTTCTTAATCACTGTAACTAGATTTTAAATTTTTATCGTATACTTCTCCTTGGCTCGGGTTTACTTTGATCTTTGCTTTCTAGCAATTTTTAAGATGAACTTTCACTGATTTTAGGTCTTCTTTTCTAATATAAGTATGTAAAGGCTTAAGTTTCCTGCTACGCACTGTATTCTTCATGTACTTCACAGTATTTGCTCACTTTTATTATTTCATTTTTGAGTCATAATTATTTTGAGGTGTTATTTAATATTTGAGGTTTTCCTAGATATTATCAGTTTTTCATTATTTTATGGTTAGAGCATTTACTCCTTATGATTTGGATTCTTTTAAATTCATTGCGACTTTTTATGGGCCAGCATATGATCTACCTTTTGACAAATGCATTATCTACACTTGAAAATAATGTGTATTCTTCAGTTACTGGATGTAGTATTACACAGGTATTAATTAGACCCCTGAGTTTGGTGATGGTGTGTAGATCCCCTGTGTCTTACTGAGACTTTGTCTAGTTCTATCAGTTGATGAGAGGCAGTAAAACCCATTCTGATTGTGAACTTGTCCATTTCTCCATTTAACTCAGCCAATTTTTGCCTCATGTACTTTCAAGTTCTGTTATTATGTGTGTACAAATACAGAATTGTTAATTTAAGTTTCTCTTATCATTATGAACATTCGTCTTTGTCTCTGGTCATACTTTTTCTTCAAGTCTCTTTTGTCTGATACTAAAGTAGCCACTTTAGCACCTTATGCTTACTGTTTACATGGTACATATACTGTCTTCTGTCTGTTCACTTTCAGCTAATCTGTGTCTTTAATGTGTCTTTCTTATAAACTAATAGCATGTACTAAGGTCTTGCTTTTTCACCTATTCTCTGCCTTCTAATTGGAGTATATAAACCAATTAACATTTATTGAATTATGGAAATGATTAAATTTAAGCTACGATTAAGTTTTTCTGTTTATCCCATTTGGTTTTTTTTTTGCTTTTTATTTCTTTTTTTTAATTTGAATGTTTATTAGTGTTCCATTTCACTTTACTTACTGGCTCTCTGCTTATATGTCTTTGCATTACTTGTTACTGGTTGCTTTAGGGATTACAACATGCTTAGTGTCTAACCATTGACAGTCTACTTAGAGTTAACTTCATGCCAATTTCACATAATATATAGAAACCTTGCAATCATATAAATCCCTTTTTCCTAGTCTTTTTTGTTCTGGTTGACAAATGTGTTATGTTTGCGTACATTGAAAACTACCAGATATTATAACTTTTAAATCAGTTGTGGGGCGCCTGGGTGGCTCAGTCGGTTAAATGTCTGCCTTTGGCTCAGGTCATGATCCCAGGGTCCTGGGATCGAGCCCCACATCAGGCTCCCTGCTCAGCGGGAGGCCTGCTTCTCCCTCTCCCTCTCCCCCTGCTTGTGTTCCCTCTCTCACTGTCTCTCTGTCAAATAAATAAAATCTTAAAAAAAAAAATCAGTTGTATATATATTTTATATATATATGTATGTCTATATTATATATATATGTATGTTTAATGTAAGAGGAAAAAACAGACTTTTATTTCTACTCAGCTGTTCTTTCTGTTGCTCTTTTTTCATTCCTTGAAGATATAAATTCCTTCTTAACATTTCCTTTTAGCCTAAAAACTTCCTTGAATATTCTTTTAGAACAGATATGCTGATGAATTCTTAGTCTCTCTTCTTCTGAAAAGGTGTTTGTTTTGCTTTTTTCTCCTGAAGGATATTTTAGGTGAAGTTCTTTTCTTTCAGTACTTTAAGTCTAGATATTATTTCATTGAGTTCTTGTTTTTACGATTTATAATAAATCTGTAGTCACTGAAATCATTATTCCTCATGTGTACTGTATTGGTTTTTACTGGATGCTTTCAAGATTTTTTTTATCCTTGGCTGTTAGTTACTCTGGTTTTGATGTGTCTAGGCATGATTTTTCTCTGAATTTATCCTATTTGAGATTTGTTGAGCTTCTGAAATTTGTAAAATACATGTCTTTCACCAAATTTTAGCAGTTTGGGGCCACTGTTTCTTCAAATACATTTTTTTTTTTTTTGCCTCAATATCTTTTTCGTCTCCTCTGGCATCCAAATTACACATTTATTACACAGGTTCCATTTATATCTTTTCCATTTATATCTTTTCAATCTTTTTTTTCTTTGTTGCTCAGATTTTATAATTTCCATTGATCTACCTTCAAGTTCATCGACTTTTTTCTGTCCTCTCCATTCTGCTACCTAGCTCATCTAGCAACTTGTTTCTGTTAGATATTGTATATTTCCATTCTAACATTTCCATTTCGTTCTCCTTTATAGTTTCTATTTCTCTGAGAATTCATATTTCCATTCATTTCAGATGTGTTTTCCTTTACCTTATAAAACACAGTTATAAACACATAAGTTCTTAAATTCTTGAATTCTTTGGTAGTTCTAACTTCTGGGTCATTCAGAGTTGCCATCTACCATTTTCCCCTTGAGAATTAGTCATAATTTCTTGGTTCTTTTATATTAAATGATTTTAAATTGCATTCTGGATGTTATGAATGCAGTGTTGTATCAACTCTAGGTCCTGCTTACAATGGAGCAGAAAATACAGGATTAACTTAGAAACAAAAACCCTGAGGAGTTGCAATGCCAACATGGCAAGTGAAAACCTGGATATAGCCCATCCTTACTGCTGATTACAACTAAAAATTCTGGGCCCGAGATAGCGGTTGGAGCACTTTGAAAATGAGTAAAGCAGGAAGATGGTGGAGGGGAGTCAACATTCTGGAGAATGTTTTCATTTTAGCAAGTAATCACCCTTTTATGTTCATACCGCAAGTTCTGTCTCATTTTCTGTGAGTTGTGGTTTCAATCTCAGTTCAGTTCTCTTAAGTTTTTGCTACACTGATTTGGGTCTTCACTGTCACATGTGGTTCAGGGGTGAGTCTGGTAGTTGTGTGCATAGTTCAAATCTCGGCTCGGTTCTCTAAGCCTTTTCTACATTGGTTTGGGGGTGTTCTGTACTGCTGTTATTCACGGGTTAGGCTGAGACTTGTGTATTCTAATCTCAGTTCACATATGAAAATATTGCTGTGTTACCTTGAGTCTGAACTGCAAGTGTTTAGCTCAGGGGTTATTCTTCAGCTAGTTTTGGTTCCTTCACAGCTTTAGAGTATCTTCTTCACCCAGTCTTCCTGGATTACCTCCACACTCTTCAATTTGTAAGGGCTTTTTGTTTTTTCTTGGTTCTTTTCACCAAAAAGGGCTCCTACTGGAATTTAGTCACACAGAACAGCATGATGCTCTGCAAATGTTCCACCCTCAGGGCAAAGCTAAGAAGAAATAAAAGTTAAAACTCTACCCCATGCAGGTTGATTCCTCTCCACAGTCTACCTGCTTTTTATTAATTTTCAAAGTGCTGAGATAGTTGTCTGGGCCCAGAGTTTTTAGCTGAAATCCACAGGAAGGATGGTCTATGGTCAGTTTTTTGCTTGCCCCATCAGCATGCAACTCCTTAGGTTTGGTTATGTTTTTACAGTTAATCCTGTATTTTCTGCTCCATTAGAACTTAGTAGCAGATAGGCAACATCACTGAACATTTGGAAGTTCAGTCGTATTCTAAGAAGGTGTTTATAATTTTGCAAAGGAGGAATGAATAGCACATAGAGTCTTCGAATTCAGTCAATTAGAAAAACAAAACATTGATGGCATACTTACTATGTGCTGTGTGTGGAAGACAGTAAAATAATTTCAGAGTTTACCTTACAACCTAGTAGGCATTAGGCTTGCTTCAATGAATAAAGATCAGTAAATATGGTAATAAGCATATTACCTACAAAAGACAGGAGCTTTTCCTTGGGTAAAAATACTATTTTTTATTTAACATTATAACCTTCAAAATAATGAATAGCACAGACACAATGCAATTTAATTTTGAATCCACATTCAAATTAGTGTTGCACTTTCATATCGGTAGAGAAAATCTTGAATGACACTTTATTTAATCAATTTGCTTTTTTCTAAGTTTTTAAATCTGGTTTATGAAAAACACGTTATTTTTTATTTTACTTAAAGATTTTATTTATTTGAGAGAGAGCGCGAGCACAAGCAGGGTGAGGGGCAGAGGGAGAAGCAGGCTCTCTGCTGAGCAGGGAGCCTGATGCAGGGCTCGATCCTGGGACTCTGGGATCATAACCTGAGCCAAAGGCAGACATTTAACCTACTGAGCCACCCAGATGCCCTGAAAAATACTTTAATACATGACGATTTCTTTTTTAGCGTCTTCTTTAGGGTAGCTGATGAAAACTTTTGTAAACTCTTTTTAATTAAATTGCAGACACGACCAGAGCAAGAAGAAGCCAGGAGAGTGATGGTGTGGAATATATTTTCATTTCCAAGCATTTGTTCGAGACAGATGTACAAAATAACAAGTATGTGGCAGTTTTTTTGTGTGACTCTTGTTTTTAAGCCTGTGCCTCTGTATCCAGTTTCAGGGAACTGAGGGTTCCCTTCCGTTTGAAATAAATTTTAAGTTTTATAATATCTGAAACGGATACAAAGGTGATAATTCAGTTAGTAGGTGTTACCAGTCTTCACCTGTAATTTTTTAATAACCTAGAGTTGCTATGTTTCTGGTAAGTTCAATGGGTAGGAATTATTTTGAAGGATGAGGGAATGTTGCTTGTATATTATTGTGACCTCTTTCCACCCCACTCATTGCATCTTAACATAGAATTTGAATAGAATTTTCTTTAAAAAACTAACAATGATGTAATAGATCCCTAGTTCAACCCTCTCTCCCGCATGCACCTCTCTCCCTCATTGGCTCTTCAAAAAATTAAATTACTGTTCATCACCTTGCTTGTACCATGTCCCTTGGCCAGCTCTAACCCCCCACCTCCCCGGGTCCTCCACTTGCTTCAGCGTGAATATTTTAGGGTATCAGGGAGCAATGTGTGTTTTAATGGGGGATTTGGGGATTTTATTGAAACATCAAAATGCTTTTTTCCACGTTTGGCACAGCGGTTGTGTTTTTATAGCACGTAGTCGGCTGCCCCGCTTCCATTAGCCACCAGGCAGTCCCTCCTGTTGTTCTAAAGCTGAGCGTGGTTATTCTGTAGTGTGTGGTGAAATTTCAGTAGTTTCTGTTGTTTGGCTTATTCACTGCTTTATTGCATTGCATTAGTTCTGAAAAAGAGGTGATGGAAAACAGAGTACTGCTGGCCTGAAGTACTTTTTTTCTGCTTAAGTGTAATACAAGCAAGTGTTACTGATTTGAAAATGTAAAATACAAGATTTTTTAAAATTGACATTCTGGAGGACTTGGTCCTACTTATTTTATTGAACACAGTAAAAAAAAAATTACATGTTCAGCAAAAATCTTTTCTATATTTGAATTATGTCTTTCCACTTATATCTATAATTAATTCCCAAATGGCTCTGATTTCCTACAGGTTTATTGAATACGGTGAATATAAAAATAACTACTACGGCACAAGCATAGACTCCGTGCGGTCCGTCCTGGCTAAAAACAAAGTTTGTTTGTTGGATGTTCAGCCTCACGTAAGCCAACAATGAACTATTCAGTACCATTCTGGCCCATGTGAGCTGCCACACTCCATGTGAACCTTCCAGTCTGGGGGTATATCTGAAGGCTGCTCACTTGGGGCATATCTGTGGCTTTCCTAATGACAAAAGCATTTAAATGTAACTTGAGAAGTCTCCGGTGAGAGGAAAATAAAAAAGGCCCATAATATTAGAAAAGAGGAGTTAGGGGAAGCCACAAGATCTGTCTGTAACTCTTGTTTATATTCCGTGTTAGCCAAGTACAAGACTCTTAGGTATTTCTTCTGTGTAAAATACATTGCTACGTGTATAATGGATTTTTAAGTGTTAAGTATAAGTGTTTGTAATTTTTACAATGGACATTTTGGCCTTCTTTCATTTTGAGTCTCTACATATCCTAGAAGCATACACCCCCTACATGGAGCTGTGGGGCATTTCACAGGAATTGAACTGAATGAGATCCTTCCTGCGGCTGTCAGCTGAATCCTTGCCGGCAGCCGGGGAACACTTAGGAACACTGGACTGAGGATGCCAGTGGATGAAGCCATTCCATTCTTACCGAACCACATCTCCTCCAGCAGAGACCCTACCCATAGCGTTTTCCTTGTTACCCAGGGGCCACGGAGTCTTGCTCCACTGATGGGTACACAACCTCCAAGAGCCAGAGTGGCCTGGAGAAGCCCTTCATTCTTCTTCAGGAAGATGAATCTGGAGTCAAAGCGCCCCAAGAATCAGTAGGGCAGCTGACCCCTTCACGTGGGCACCGGCGATGAGTAGACTACTCCTGCTTGTGCAACCAGCTCTGTGCCAGGGTCTAGTCGGGTCCAGCTCCCTCAGTGCGGGTCCAGCTCTCCGTCCCGAGAGCCTCACTAGCCCTCCGGACATATGGCTCCTCCAGCTGCACCCCCACACCCCACCATAACCTTTCAGGGGAGTTTGTGGTCTGTACTTAGGTTCTGCGGAGGCCCTGACACACAGGTCAAGAGGCTCCCTCCACTCTCGCCCTTTTGCCATTCCCCCTCGACTGTGGATGAGTCCTCGGAAGCATAGCGGAAATAATGTAAGCTATTTTGATGGGAGAATGTTGACAAGCTTCATGGAAAGCAGAAGTCTTGCCCTTTTAGGACACTCCAAAGGACAGAATGGCAAACCAGACAGACAGAATGACAGACTCCTATTTGAGATCAGGAAGAGGCTCAGGTGGGATGGCTGAAAGACCTTAACGCATAGCATCTTTTGAGTATTTGATTTAAAAATCAGTTTTATGATATTTTTAGCTGCTTCTGTCCAGTATGAATTATGACATATTTCAAAACATTTTAAAAGGCAAGTTATATTCTCCAACATTTTTTCAGGGGCATATAATTATGACATTTAATTGTCAACAACTGATTGAATAAAATATTGAAAGAGCTACTGGCCTTAATTAGATAATTTTAAGGAATTTTCTCCTTTGAAAGAAACTCTGGTTTTACTATAAAATTCACTCATGACATTATGAAGAAATAAGACTTATTTTCTTCCTTGCAGACAGTGAAGCACTTAAGGACCCTAGAATTTAAGCCCTACGTGATATTTATAAAGCCTCCATCAATAGAGCGTTTGAGGGAGACAAGAAAAAATGCGAAGATTATTTCAAGCAGAGATGACCAAGGTGCTGCAAAGCCCTTTACAGTAAGTACAGTGATGCTCAGTAAGAAGGTGTAAGTGGTACTTGAAATCCTACATGTGGGAGCCACTACCTTCGGAAGACATGGTGTAGTAGATGCTGTGATCCAAAACCCGGTAAAAGACAGAATTGTATTTGGGTACATACGTTTTGAGTGATTGGCTGTACTGGCTTTCTGTGCTTCTATGAATAGATCTTCGAATTATATTGACTGAAATATCCCTGTAATAATAAGTGAATGAGTGACAATCCTGAAATTCACGAAAGGTGGGAACTTTGATTCTGTGCAAGCAGTTGAGCAGATCCGAGAGAGGACATCAGAAGGTATGACCTCTGAAGAACTTGCAGTTCAAGAGGGTCATTTTCATTTGTGGCTGAAAGAATAAACACAGAATAGCATTTGATAAACCAGCTGTGGAAATGTCTGCATCCATGTAAAGTGATATAATTGCCTGGTTAACCAAAGTTTTTTAATTCTTCCTTTTGCAGGAAGAAGACTTTCAGGAAATGATTAAATCTGCACAGATAATGGAAAATCAGTATGGTCATCTTTTTGACAAAATTATAGTAAACGATGACCTCACCGTGGCATTCAATGAGCTAAAAACAACTTTTGACAAATTAGAGACAGAAGCCCACTGGGTTCCAGTGAGCTGGTTACATTCATAACAAAGGGAGATTCCCACAGTCATCTGTCTTGTAGAGTGCATGATGAAATCCGTTACCGCGCTGGTGGTAGGCTTGTTTAATCTTTATCACTGTTGTAGATGAGCAGTCTTGCTTAAAACTGTTGGTTTTGTTTGTATCTTTATCCAGCCTTACTCCGAACACAATATTTGAGAAGATCCAAAATCAAAATTTGCACAGTACTGTATTTTGAGCAGAGCTTTGAACAGCTGTATCTCCAGGATGAGGTCGGACTTTTTAGAGAGAAACAGCTAGGGAACTGATACTGGAGTTCAGTGCTTCCGCGGGTCTCAGACGCGGTCCCTCCATCAAGTTGGTACGTTAACAGTTGAAGGTGTTAGCTTAGCAGCCTTGAGCAGCTCCAGGCAAACAGGACAGCTTTGCTTTTCTTTGGATGGGTCCCTATAGGTTCACCTAGGCTGACAGTAAGGCATCGTCTTAACTATTCTAAAAGCGCAACCTTTTTCTTACATATATACAATATAGTCAGAGTGTATTTAAAAATCTTTCTTAAAGGAATTACGACACATTTGCCTTAGTGAGTGGCCTGCATGTTATAGCTTGAGAAGACCTCTTAGGACTACATATCAGTGACTCAAATACTTAATGAGGGGAGATAGGACTTTTAAAAAATGATTATATAAGTAACTCAAAGCCCTTCCTTATGGTACTAGTCTTTGTAAGGTTGGTGATATCTTGGGGCAAGTAATGATTACAAAGGACACTTTTATTTGTAAATCCTCAGGATTTCCGGAGTCACCATCTAATAAATTATAAGAATGTGATTCCTATTCTCAAAGTAGATGTTTTACATGTTACTGATAGTTAAAATATGATCATTTTTCACACGTGCAATTGATCATATATTTAAATTGCACCAAGATGTATTTTAGAAAAACTTTCCGTGTAATGTTAACTTACCTCTTCATCATCAGAATAATTCTCAACACTGGTCAGGTACCATCCTAATCTTACAATTTTTAAAGAATTTTAAGAAAGACTCTTGTAAATAATTTAGATGGGCTCTCATTTTTCTTTGTTACTACTGAACTTCAGCATACTAGAAAGGGCCGTAAGTTGTTTAAGAGAACACGTCTTGCCATTCTTGCATGCAGTAAGACCCTGCCAATCAAAAATCATATCTATGACTTTCAAACAGAAAATATTTTTTGTTGATTTGTAAAGAGAGTTTAGATGTCATGTTTAAAGAAAAATAGAATGTAGTGAAATTTTATATATTTATGAAATCTTTGAAAGGCCTATTTTTTTAATTATCAAATGGAGCTATTCATAAAATAAATTGTATGTAAAGATGTCATAATTTAAAATAGTAGTTTTATAAGTCAGGGTCCACATTCCATGTAAATATTTGACCTTTGTTCGTACACCGATAGCCCACAAGTGTTATATGTGCACTGTGCACTTGGTAGCATTATCCACTGGATTTCCTTCAGATGTGTCAAATTTCATGTTAGAAACAGAGACAAAAACTACTGTAATGGCCTTGATACACACTCACACTAAAACAATCAGACTAAATGTTACTTAACATGATCCAGACACAGTGAGTTCTAAGTTTATAAAGTCAATAGCAAGCCATTTAGCTTTTTAAAGGCGTGGGGAAGATTGGGTTGCCGTACTTTAAAGTTGTATGGCTGCTCTAAGAAAATCCAAGTCTTACACAGAGTGTCTGGGTAGAAGAGACTCCTCTTTTAACACTAAGATCGCCTATAAATCAAAACTTTCTGTACAACGAGTAATGGGAAATGTATAATTATCTAGGCAATTGTCTGAGTAATTTAGGCAGTCCAACCAGATTCTTTACTGTGGGGGTAAAGGGTAGTGTAATGTGGTGGAAACAGAGTCCTTCTGGCTGTCGATGGTGATGGGGTGTTATTTAAAAATATAACTGTCCAGACCTTTCTCCCTTTCCACACTAGAACTGAACAATGTTTTTTGTTTGTTTGTTTTTAATGAAAAGGGGCACCCTAGCAATTCGAGAAATCTTTTATTAGGTACATGGCTTTGCAGGTGACGTTTACATGGCCATTGTGATGTTTAGAGATTAGGTTAAAACTGAGTAAGGCAGTGCCAAGGGCTCGTTGATAACTGCTGCGGAAGGCCCTGGGCTCTTGTGTCTGCACCCAGACCTCCTCCAGCAAGGAGATGTGCACGGTGCTCCTCACTGTACTAGTTCGGCCGGCTCCCAAGACAGTGTCAGCCACTATTTGGGAGAAGAGGAATGTTTGTAGTTTTAAGTCCATATATTTAAAATCCAAGATCAGGAAATTTTATATTCCCGTGATTACTAAATTAGAGTCAGTTAAAAATAAAAAGGTGAAATTGAAGTATTTTTTTCCCGTTGCTTTACTTATATAGATGTTCTTAATATCTTTAAGGCTGACATTCCTGGTATTGTATAATGATTGAATGTATCTAAATTGTAATAATTTAAAATTAACAAACCTGTAATCTTCATAGATTTACAAAGCTGTTATTAAAAGCTGCTTGAAGATCTGGATTTCTGTTTATTTTCTTTTTGACTAGTAAGGATTTCTAAATAAATGTAATGGAAAACCTTTGATCTTAATAAAGTATCTTCAAATCTGTTCTTGCGCTTGGGTATTTAGGATATTGTTTCCCAGGGTAGATCAAATTCTGTTTTCTACTCTGATACCAAGTGGTTCATTTGAATTTGCCATGTCTAAAATTAAACTTCATATTTAACAAGGTTGTTGGAGAGATGGACCTCACTAGAGCTGCTCCTCCCCACACAGTGCAGCCATTTAGAGATACAGAGAAATAAAGGGGGGTGGACGATCGGGGCCCATCCGGGATGGGATCATCCCTTCTCCTCGCCATCAGGAACCTAGAGCATTAGCCACATCCTGTTCCTGAATTCCAGTCAGGCAAAACGAAACTTTTTTATTTAGCTGTACATGAGGACAAACTGCCACCTGCTTAGATACACCAGCTAATTAGCAGTGTCCTTGCTTCAACAGTTGGGTGAGTTAGCCCCAGCTCTGCTTCCACGGAAAGACTGTACAGGGTAGCAGTCGGGAGCACGGGATCTGGAGCCACACCTCCTGAGTTCAGGTTCTGGTTTTGCCTTTTACCAGCTTTGCAACCTTGAGACAGTCCTTTAGCCTCTCTGATCAGGAAAGTGGACATCATAATTCTGCTTACCTCATGGGATCGTTGTGGGCATGGAAGAGCTGATCCGCGTAAAGTACTTGGAACAAAACCTGGGAAAGAAAGATTCAAGAACTGTGAACTCCTGTGTCATAGCGATTATTCTCACATCACACAATTTTAAAATAGCTCTATAATCACCCCATTTAAACAGTTCTCCATTAGCAAATTCACTGGAAGTTTCCTAATAATTTCTATGACAGTTTTATTATGTAAAAAACATCCATTACTTCCAAGTGATACATCAGGACCTAATTAAGTAATCCTCCATTGGGAAGTGAACAGATTTTTATTTTTAGCCACTGGTATGCAATATAACTTCTATCGATTTGAAAGAAATGTCCCTTAATTGTATTAATGCCCTTTCTTCTGCTGCCACACTTCCTTTCCAAAGGAAAAGGAGCAAGCATCCTTACCCTCTGAGCTCCTGGAGGGCAGGGAGTATTTTTTGAAACCGCTGTCTTACACACACACTCCAACGCTGGACCAACTGCCAACCAAACTGTGCTTATCATCAGACATCTGTATGATTTCCATTCACTAGCTCATCTAATAAAATAGCAACCACGCTATTTTCACTGCATTGTGCTTCCTGGTGTTGCTATAACTTGAGCCAGAGCTGGAAACATGAGATTTGGTAATTTGGAGAGGGTTTACCCTTTTTATGCATGCACAGTTAATAACTTTCTCAAAACGCTGTTGCATTAAGTCAGACAACTTGTACCTATGCCTATAAGAACTGGTTAATCCACAAAAAGTGGCTATTATCAGAAGCAGACTTGTGTAGCATAATATGCAATTTTGTTTAGTCCGCCTGAGTCCCGGTCCTTAGTGATGAATCAAGACAATGTGCACTTTGCAGGGATTAGTCTGAGTTGGTCGTGCTACCCAATTCCAGGTTGGAGAAGCTGTGAGTAAGAGTTGTTCCTCTGATTTACTTTGTCAAAGATTAAACAATTGCGTGAGGTAAAAGATCTTTTATGCCTTTGTTGTTTGAGATACTTCAATTATTTTGTGATGATGTTTGCCAATATGACAGCCATAATCCCAACCTTAAACCAGAGGACAATACAGGTCAGTCTGTGGAATGCCCGAGTAGAAAAAAGAAAAAACCCTAAATCCATCATATCGTCGAGCTGTTGAACTGATCCTGGGACCTCCTTCCACTAATTGCTGAATACACAATAAAGGTTCTCATGGACTGTTGATGGAAATGTACATTGGTGCAGCCACTATGGAAAACAACAACTATGGAGGTTCCTCAAAAAATTAAAAACAGAACTGCATTATGATCCAGCAATCCCACTTGTAGGTATATATCTGCGAGAAACGAAATCACTATCTCAGAGACATCTGTACTCCCATGTTCAATGCAGCATTACTCATAACAGGCAAGACAAGGAAACAACTTAAGTGCCCATCAACAGATGAATGGGTAAAGGATGGATACACACACACACACACACACACACACACACACACCCCAATATTATTCAGCTATGAGAAAGAAGGAAATTTTGCGTTTTGCAACATGGTGGACTCTGAGGGTCTCACACTAAATGGAATAAGTCAGAGAAACGCAATAACTATGTTCCCATTTAGATATGAATTCTGAAAAAGGCAAACTCAGAACGTAGGACGGTCGTTGCCTGGGGCTGGAGGGTAGGGGAAATGGGGAGATGCTGGTCAAGGGTACAAACTTCCAGTTACAAGAGAAATAAATTCTGGGGCTCAAATGTCCAACATACTGACTATAGTTAACAACTTTCAAGTACATTATACAGTATAGTTAAGAGTAGATTTTATCACCACACACGCAAAAAAGAAGGTAATTATATGAGGTGTTGGAAGTGTTAATTAACACCGTTGGCAATCCTCACAATATATACGTGTATTAAATCATCACCTTGTACACCCTAAACTTATGCAATGTTATAGGTCAATTATACTTCAATAAAGCTGAAAAAATATAAACGTTCTGAGGGTTTAAGTCACTGTTAGGCTGTTTACCTGGAAAGCAGCATCCATGAGTAACTCAGGCCTCTCTCACTATTCCCTTTCACTTACCAAAGGCTGTCTTTCTGCTCAGCTGTCAACATGCCCTGGAGTGAGACACAGTGATTGAAGTTGAAAACTCTCTGGAACCATAAAAATCATATAATCATCTCAATAGATACAGAAAAGCATTTGATACAATTCAACATCCATTCATGTTAAAAACTCCCAAGAAGCGGGTTTAGAGGGAACATACCTCAAAATGATAAAAGCCATATATGAAAAACCCACAGCTAACATCATAGTCAATGGTGAAAAACTAAGCACTTTTCCCCTAAGGTCAGGAGCAAAACAAGGATGTCCACTCTCACCACTTTTGTTCAACTTAGTACTGGAAGTCCTAGCTTCCAGTAAAATAAAAGGCATCCAAATTGGTAAGGAAGAAGTAAAACTCCACCAAAAAACTATTAGAAATAATAAATGACTTCAATAAAGATCCAGGACACAAAATTAATACACAGAAATGGCTTGTGTTTCTAAACAGTAGTAACAAACTAGCAGAAGGAGATATTAAGACAACAATCCCATTTACAATTACACCAAAAAGAATAAAACACCTAGGTACAAACCTAACCAAGGAGTGAAAGAGCTGTACCTGGAAAACTATAAAACACTGATGAAAGAAACTGAAGATGACACAAATGGAAAGAACTAATATTGTTAAAATGTCCACACTACCCAAAGCAGTCTACAGATTCAGTGCAATCCCTATCGAAATACCAACAGCATTTTTTACAGAACTAGAAACAAATGATTTTATAGACCAAACTAGAGAGCCCAGAAATACACTCACACTTACATGGTTCACTAATCTACAACAAAACAGGCATGAATACACAATGGGAAGAAAAGTCTCTTCAATATATGGTGTTGGGAAAACTGGACAGCTACATGCGAAAGAATGAAACTGAACCACTTTCTTATACATAAAAATAAACTCAAAATGAATTAAAGACCTAAATGTGAGATATGAAACCATAAAACTAGAAGAAAACATAGGCAGTAATTTCTTTGACATCAGTTTTAACAACATTTTTCTAGATAGGTCTCCTCAGGCAAGGGAAACGAAAGTAAAAATAAATTATTAGGACTACACCAAAATAAAAAGCTTTTGCACAGCAAAGAAAACCATCAACAAAACAAAGAGGCAACCTACTAAATGGGAGAAGATATTTGCACATGATATATCTGATAAGTGGTTAATATCCAAAATATATAAATAACTTATACAACTAAACACCAAAAACCCCACAAGTAATCCAATTAAAAATGGGCAGAGGACCTACATATAAATTTTTCCAAAGAAGACATACAGATGGCCAACAGACACATGAAAAGATGCTCAACATCACTAATTATTAGAGAAATACCAATCAAAACCACAATGAGATATCACTTTACATCTGTAAGAAGGGCCAGAATCAAAAAGACAAGAAATGACAAGTGTTGGTGAGGATATGGGGAAAAAGGAATCCCTACACACTGTTGGAGGAAATGTAAATTGGTGCACCTGTGGTGGAAAACAGTATGGAGGCTCCTCAAAATATTAAAAATAGAAATGCCATATGGTCCAGTAATTCCACTACTGGGTATTTACCAGTGAAAATGAAAACACTAGTTTGAAAAAATATATGTACCCCTATGTTTGTTGCAACATTATTTACAACAACCAAGAAAGGAAAGCAACCAAAGTGTCCATCAATACGTGAATGGATAACAGTGATGTGTACACACACACACACACACACACACACACACACACACACACAGAGGAATATTTACCTAACCATAAAAAAGAATGAGATCTTGTCACCTGTGACAACATGGATGGACCTAAAGGTTATGCTAAGTGAAATAAGTCAGACAAAGACAAATACCATAGGATTTCACTTATATGGAATCTAAAAAATAACCCCACACAAAACAAATAAATAACAAGCTGTAATAGATCCATAAATACATAGAACAAACTGATGGTTGCCAAAGATGGGGTGGCGGTGGGGGTGTAAGGGAGAGGGCTTCCAGTTATGGAATCAATAAGTCATGGGGATGATAGGCAAAGCATAGGAAATATAGTCAATGGTGTTATAATAGTGCTCTGTGGTAACAGATGGTAGCTCTCCGTGGGGTGAGCACAGCTATTATGAACAGAGCTGCCAAATCACTGTGGAGCACCTGAAACTAATGTAACAGTGTGTGCCCACTATACCGGAAATTTTTTTAAAAATCTGAAAAAAGAAATTTCTGGAACCTATAGAGTGAGCCAAAACAAGAGACTACATTTAAAATTTATTTTTGGGGGGTTCCACTTGTTTTCCTCCACAACAAAGATGAGATTTTAACCTTAAACTTTGGAGAAAGTTGCTTTTATGTTTTTGGATTTACAAATTTATCATGCTTGTGGGTCTACCATTTTGAACAAAGTATACCTATTTTACTTGACTTGGGCAATAGTAATACCAAAGATTCAATCTGTCGAGGCTTTACTCTGCCCTAGGCACTCTTTTTTTTTTTTTTAAGATTTTATTTATTTGAGAGAGAGAGCACCCTGAGTGGGAGGAGAGCAGAGGGAGAGGGGGAGAGAGAAAATCTCCAGGAGACTCCACGCTGAGTGCAGAGCCCCACGCAAGACTTGATCCCAGGATTCTGAATCATGACCTGAGCCGAAACCAAGTCGGTCCTTAACCAACTGAGCTACCCAAGCACCCCTGTGTGAACATAGAAAAGGTCTAAATAGGAATACATTTAAACAACCATAGCTATAGGGGTGCGTGGGTGGCTCAGTCGGTTAAGCGTCCACCTTCAGCTCAGGTCATGATCCCAGGGTCCTGGGATCGAGCCCCGCTTTGGGATTCCTGCTCAGTGGGAAGCCTGCTTCTCCCTCTCCCCCTCCCCCTGCTTGTGCTATCTCTGTCTCTCTCAAATGAATGAATAAAATCTTTAAAAAAAAAAAAACCAGGGCTATAGAACAATATAATTACTGTAAATGTTAAAGAGA